CCCTCAGAACAGGCGGAGTCTGGACTCAGCTGAGTCCGCCACACAGGCTCCTCCCCTTGACCTCTGACCTCCTGGCTCAGTGACTGCTGTGGAACGGAAACACCCTCCACCTCAAACTCGCTGAAGACAAACGTTGGAGCGTTTCAAAAACAGACTTCATGAAAACATCAGCATCATCGTCGTCGTCAGGTGTAACCCTCACCTTTCAGGGGTGATCGTGGTGTTGCTAGGATACAGGATGAAGGTGTTCTGCTCTCCACCTGCTGTCTGCAGCACCTGAACATCACAGTCAGTCAGACTCCGCCCACATTTCAGCCACCACAACCTCATTAACCAATTACTCAAACTTCAAGCTTTGTTCATCTCGACATGAAGAAGCCACACCCACCATCACAGTAATGTTGTGATTTACAGTCAAAACAATAATCAATATTAATATTCATTGATCCGGCAGCCTGTTCCTTACCTCTTCCTCCTCATCCTCCAGCAGACACTCCAGACTCTGAGGGTGGAAACCCTCCTCTTCTTCCTCCTCCTCCTCCTCCTCCTCCTCCCCCTGGCTCTTGTTGGGACTCGGAGAGAAGTTGGAGCAGAAGGTCAAAGGGTCCATCTGCTCCGCCCACCGACTGCGCACTTGACGAGGCTCGCTCTCCAACTGGATGGTGGAGGAGGCTCCGCCCTGTCCTTGCTGAACACGCACACGCATGCACAGAGACACACACACACACACACACACACACACACACACACACACAGTCTATAGCGTGGTCGATCATTATCTGCGAGCAGATTGATGAGCTGAGGGTTAGAGGGCGGAGACTGACCAGCTTCTTGAACCACAGGGGCAGCTTCCCGTTGGTCTGAAGCAGCGGAGCGTCTGAAACAAACAAGTTCGATCAGGACAGAAAAGACTCGTCGTTTTGGTTCTGGCTGATTCACAGAAACACGGGAACTTTAGCACAGATGCTGATCTTACAAAGCTTCAAACGACGCGTCGACTATTAAATCAGTCGTCGACGATTTTGATAGTCGACGTAATCGTGGCAGCACTAGTACAAAGTGTGACTGTGTAAACACAACAAAGAGTTCAGCTGTTTGTTTCACTGGAGAAACTCTCAGTTAACTTCCTCACCAGGACACGGGTCCAGCCTGCAGGGAGTCCTCCGCTCCTCCTCCTCCTCCTCCTCCATCTGAGGCAGCTGGGAGGAGGGCACCGTGATGAAGGTCTCCCTCCTGAAAAACGCCATAAAGCAGAACGTGAATTAACCCCAACATCTTCTGCACCTTCTGCAGCGTCCCATCGCATCTGGCTTACCTGATGTTCGGCTTTTTGTGGGTTTCAGGTGCAGCGGTCAGCCTGACGCCCCGCCTCTTCCTCATGGTGCTGGTCATCTGAGCGTCCAGCCGCCACACAAACACACAGCTACACAAAGCAAAGAGTGGGTCAACGCTTTCCTGCACATCAGTCTGAGCAGCGCGTCGTCTGACCGCTGAGCTCACCTGTCTCCTGACACCGTGATCAGGTGTCTGCAGTCCTGACTGAACCTGATACAGGTGACCAGCTCTGAGGGGACACCGCAGCAGAGACACGTTTAGTTTAGTTTAAAACTCCTCAAAGACACGAGCGTGAAGCTCGGGGATTCGCTCACCTGAATGGCCGAACAGGGTGGCGACGCACTCTCCTGACTCGTAGTCAAAGATGGTGATGTTTTTGTCGGAGCAGCTGGTGGCGAAGAAGGAGCCCGACGGATCCATCTGAACCTGCAGCTCCGATTGAGACAGATCGTTTCAGCCGTTTCCACAAGACACACGATAACCCGCAATCATTAACCCCGCCCCCTCACCTTCAACAGGGC